TTATATATACATATACTATTTATATTACATTATTTATATATTTATATCTATATGTAATATATATATATTTATATATATTATTATATATATGAAAAACATTATACTCTATATACTATATCTATCTATATATCTATCTCTCGCTCTATCTATTATACATATAATATATACATATACATATATATGTATTATATATATATATATATATTATTCTATATATGTATGTATATATAATATATATATATGTATAATAATATATATAATATATAATGTATATAGTATATATATATATATATGTATATATATCTTTATCTATAGATATATGTAATATATCGATGTCTATCATATATATATATTCTATCTATATATATATATGTATATATATGTATATATATATACATCTATATATTCCATAAGCATATATCTACCTATATCTATTACATTTATATAGATTCTATATATAGCTATATATAGGCATCATATATATATATCTATGTATATATATCTGTACTGTAGTAATACCATATCTATACATATCTAGATATATACATATAATTATACATATTATATATATATATACATTTATTAGCAATATATATATACATTATAATATACATATATATATGTCCATATATAATTTACATTATCTAGATCATATATATATATATATATATATATATAATTATATATATATTATAATAAAAAAATATATGTATATATATGTGTATATATATTATATAGTATATGTATATATATATGTATATATATATATATATATATGTATTCTAATATATGTATATATACATAAATATATTATGTATTAAATATATTAGATACGTCCGGCAGTGGAGTGACCCAAGCTGATGATGATGTGATATGTATTATATATATTATGTAGATATATATATATATATGTATATATATATGTATATATATATATTATATAGGATATATAATAATGTGTATAGAATATAAATATATGTTCTGAGATATTATATAGATGTAGTATATATATATATATAATAGGTGTATGTTGTAGAGGATTACTATATATGTATGTATAATATTATATATATATATTAAAGATATATGGATGTAGAATATATATATATGTATATTATTATATATATCTGCATACTATATATATTGTATATAATATATATAGATTTTATATATATATATATATTATTATAGGTAATATATATATATGTAGATATATATGTATTATATATATATATATATATGTATCGATATATGTTATATAATAGAGAGAGAGACAGAGTAGAGGATCAGGGAGAGAGAGAGGGAGGATAGATGCAGATAAAGAGGGATAGAGAGGAGAGAGGAGAGGAGAGAGGGAGATATAGAATGTAGATATGAGATAGAG